TTTTTTGTAAATATAAATTGATAAATATAAGGAGTTCAGTCTTTTTTCAAATTTTAAATATAAATAATCCAAAGTGTACAACCCCTTAAAGTTTTTCATTTATTAAAAATAAAAATAAACAAAAAAACAAATTTGCCAGGTCCACAGCATTTGTTTTCGGATATCTTCTAGTCAGCTCTAGCGACTAAAGTTCTCTTACCTGTTTGGTTGCTATGTTAGCTTAGAGATTTATTTAGCTGTCTCAGCTTACCACTAATAGATGGGCATTACATAAACATAAACGTGATGGCATATTTAAGTTTTTGATTAATTTACTAAATTAATTTAGTGCTGCTTAGTATTTACATTTTTAAGAAGCAGCATTCCCAGCGATTTCTCATGGGTCTTTTCTATGACTTCCGCATGGCGCCAGCTGTAAGTCTGGTATACATATATGTATGTATGTAAGTATAGTTATTGTAAATGTCATTTAATTTCAGCCGATATTATATGCTGTTGTTCTTGTGTTTCGCCAGACGTCGTTTATCTGCGATCAATTAATAATTTTGTTCATGACAATTTACAAGACTATAATTAATTTCTATGTGGGGTCCCAGGCCCAGTATCTAGGCGTCGTCATTGTTCTGCTGGTCTATTCTGACAAAGGTCAATTGTGTTTGATAAATGTGAATATATTGGTAACTATGTATATAAATTTCATAATGAATGGCGACAGCAATCGCTAAGCGAGTCTTATGCATAAAGCTGAGACTCTATGGTCACTGACAAAATACCCTACATTAAGAAGTCAACGGATGGGGTGTATGCATTTGCATTTTTAAGCAATTTGCTATTCAAGTTTTCTACTAGTCGATGGCGAATTACTGCATATCTTTTAGTCTATCAACCTGTTCTGCTGTGCTTGCGGCTGCATGTTTATAAATCATTATGACAATTTGCTTGAGCTACCGTAACTAAAAAGTGCGCCCCTTGCAACTGGGAAATCCCCTCGCGCCTTTGGCATTATGCAAGAAACGAAGAGCTCGGCGCGTAATTAAAATGCGCGTCAAATGGCTAAAGTCGATAGTTCAAGGCAACTGAAAGTGTTAACTTGGCTGTCTTTGGTTGCCTTAGGCGGAATTCAAAAGCCAAAGAAGGCTGCAGCTGCAGCCAACAGCTGTGCCTATCGCAGTCGAGGATCGATGAAGACACCAGCCAAGTGGCAAGTGGCAAGTGGAGAGGTGTATGTGTGTGACGTCTGCCGATCGAGTACCATATGCAATTCTACGGAATAAGACCATACCATAAACAAGAGCTTAGGCTTAAGCAATCAGCAATAAGCCATAAGCCATAAGCCGCTCACATCAGTTGCTGCCCCAGCCGGGTCTGCTCGTCTGCAATTGGAGAGCCGCTTTGCCATGGCAGTTGCCAACCCGTGCTGCTGACTCGACATATTTATGGACATATACACATATATATGCATGTGTATATACAAATGTATATATTTTACATATATGTATGTAATTAAGTATGTAAGAAATTTGGAGCTCAAGTTGTGCATTATGCCAATTGTTGTTATGCATTTCGGTTAGCTCTTTTATTTCTAATATGCTGTGGCATTTAATGCATATTCATTATTTTCATATATGCACATATATGCACGCAAATACATATGTGTGTGCATTCAATTTCGTTTTGCGAAATCAATGAGCCAAGAAATTAATGAGAACTTAGAGTTTTACATTTTATATGCATGTCTCACTCGCTTCACTTTCATTGAACAAATCAAAACACAATGTTTCAATTAACACACACACATACACACGCGCTTGCTGTAAGTTGAGAATCGGCTATATACATATACATATGTAGTACATTTATGTACATGCTGCAAGCCCAGGTTGCTGTGCTTTCCTTTAGCTAAATTGTATTTTCATAGTCAAATATAAAGCTGTTACGACTTTTGCTGTGCTTCTTGGGCAATAAATTGTTGTTGTTGTCTATCCAATTTGTATGCCCCTGCAGCATCATTCATCGATTAGTTGTCCAATATCTTTCTGCAGTCTACGGGCAGTTCAAAGCACTGCAACCTTGAGGCCTATGCAGGAAATAGTTCTCCATTGTTCTCTATTTAATTCAATTTTTATGGTGCTACTTTTCAGCAAGCACTCAAATTTAACGAGAGACAGCGGCATTTCTCATCATAATTCGCTGTCTTTATAGACGCCATGCGCCACACATCGATGGAATAGTTGAAGTACATTATTTTAATGCGAAACTTGTGTTACTTGTGGGATAAGCTTTAATTTGGAGGACTGTTTCATTGAGCCTAATTAAACCATCAATGGATTCAGATAAGATATGTACATACATATATCATTGTATAATACTGTATAGCCAAGTCGACTCCTCAAGTGTTCTATTTGAAGTCTTTGCCATCTTGATATTTGTCCGTACAATGGCCCATCATAGTCTAGCTCTCCATACGCTTTCACTCTTTCTGTATAGGAATAGATACATGTCTACATATATACATATGTCATATACATATATGTCTATATAGTCTACAGATATATACATACATTAGTTTATATTTGCCCATTGCGTGGGCGTTCCGTCTCAGGGTCAACGCACATCGCCATCTGGAAATGATTCTATATAGTCTGTCTGCCGTCGTACGCGTGCAATGAAAACTTTAAATGTACATATGTGGACGTAGTTGAATGGATGATGTATGCCATACACTTAAGTAAAATGTATCTTTAAAATACAAAACAAAACACAACAAAAATAGAAAAAAGAAAGAAAGAAAAAAAAAGATCGCCTCGGCCACGCAGCTTGCGCACTAAAATGCTCTTACGCATGTCTTGGGCCGATTCCGAGTTCGATTCCTGCCATTGATTGACAGCGCACGTAATTGAGTTTGATTTTTGCGAATTTTGAGAATTTATACATCACTGTGCTACATCTTCGCATGGCGCATGGCGCATGGCGAGGGGGCGCTGCATGTCAAAAAGGTTTGTGTTTAGTTAGCCCAAATATTTGATTTGATTGAGCAGCTGTCAAGCGAACTTTCAAAACCTGAGCTCATATAAAAATAGTTTGCTTTAAATGGCCTCCATAGCTCACAGCTCTTTCAGCTGGCAGTTGTTGCCTCTCGTCTCGCCTCGACAGTTCATTTAAGTTTTCGTAAGCTTTCCATCATTCAATCAGGATCAATATTTCTTAATCAAACTGGCAAAAAAAA